TCCAGGGTGTCCCCCTGCCTAATGCCCTGCGATGGACTGTCCCCCTGCATTGGACCCTAAGCTGCCTGGATGGGCTCCAGGCCCCCTGTCCATATACTGGACATACAGCTGGAAGAAGGATGGATAATCCTCTCTTTAAACAAATGATTTCAGAAGCTCCCTAAAGTTTGCCACTATTCACAGCATACAATGATAGTGTAAACATATAGCAAGATTTCAGCTTGTATACAGCAAACCTTTGCGTTTGCTACAAATTCACATGATGTTAACAATTATATAACTTAAAAAGAGTTATAAGCCAAGTGGAACAAGACTGGTTGTAACAAAGGGCTCCTACTTCATTGTATTTTACATATTTATGCATTGTTCTCATTTTTATGACTTTTTAAATATGCCTCTGGAGAATAATTTTCTGGAACACTTTACAATAACACTTTTACTTAGCACACATTTTTATCCATATTGTTCCAAAGGCACAGAGCTATAGGGGGTTAGGGGGCTCAAGGGCCCAACAGTAAAATGCTAACTCACTGAATCACTCACCACCCCCCACTACAGAAACAATAACTGAACTCTGAGAATCAAGTTGCTGACTGCCACAAAAATGGTCTCCACGATCTCGATAGCAGGCGCCAGCTTGCACTGAATCACAGCTGTGACAATCCCTTTCCACCCATTGTTCAAGCTTCATTGGCCCACTAGACCAGTATTTTTTTTCAATCTCAAATGTGTTTTGTGGAAATAGAAAAGTTACAGATAAGTTTAGCTGATTCTTACTTCAATTTTTTTTCCCTACCTGGGTAAAAGAATGAATTGAGATGTGTTATACCATTGTGGCATGTTCTGACTGGACCAATCTCACCCTGGTCTTCCACTATAAACAATAATCTCAGACCATGAAGTTTGCAACACATTTTTGCATGTTTATTTTGTTTCACTGTAACATTTTACTTGACGTTATAACACATGTTCATCTAAAGTCATATAATCTACATATCTTTGCTTTTAAAAAGCCAATGAATGTGGGACACCCTGGCCGCCCAGCCAATCACAGGGCAGACACACTCATACTTCAGAGATACTGGTTCGCCTGACTGCATGAGTTTGGATGGTGGAAGGAAGGCAGAATTCCTAGAGGTAACCTAGGCAACACTGGGAGAACATGCAAAGGCCATACACAGAGCACAGATGGGATTCGAACCCTGAACCTTACAGGT